TCATACTCAAAAGGACTGACTGATGAAAACAAACTCCTTTGCTGCTATGCCCACATGAAGATTTCTATGGCAGAATTACTGACTGTATTGGCAGAGCACAAAACCCAGAGCAATACCAACAGAAATGTGTGTTTTGGAATTACAGCATAAGGGCTACCTAGAAGCAGTAAAGAAAGGAAAGTCAGAATGACACAGGCAGTAGCATTGTCAGTAATTCAGATAAGAGAGGTTACAGAAGGGCATAAAAACAGATTGCTGAGGACACGGATTGCTGCCTAAAAGTTCAACACCTGCCAAGGAACACTCCTTTGAGATTGCCAGCTGCCCCTTCTTTAAGGGCCACCTTTCAATTTACTGCATTGCCCCTTATTGAGTCACACAATAACTAAATGAAATGTCGCATGGGAAATTAGTCTTTGAACATTCTGTCTAGCACTTCATAGAGAAGTTGCCTTAATAGATGCTCTTGAAAATGTTTTGGATAATACATATTCCCTTCCCCCTCCAATAAAAGTTTCTAAAGACATTTTCCTGGGTTCTGAGAAACCAAAGAAAATGAGCACATGGAACTATAACATATTATTTTACACCAATCTGGTGCTTCCTTTATGCACTTACTTATGTGCCACGCCACGAGCAAACAGAGTGAGTGGGAGCAAGTGTTAAGCATTTGCTTTTACTTAAAACAATGTTATTAGTAATCCAGGGTCAATATGAAGGTTTTACAACTCAGAGAACTGAGCAACATTCACATTTAAATGACAGAAACTCACCACAGAATAGAGCTTCCTCAAAGACTTATACCAGAATTTTTTTTAAAAAACCCTATTAATTATAATGGTAACAAAATCCTTCCTACTAGCTTACCATTTAGATGATGATGATGATAATGATAACAATGTGAATGTTTTATGCCACTCAATTAAAGAATTACACAATAAAACTAATAATTATTATTACAATACTTCTATCCTGATATGCTGCCTTCTTTCTTTTTGTGAGGAATTTTTACATAATTCTTCTCCTCTCCATTTTTAATCTCACAACAAAAACAGCCCTGTAAGGTAGGTTAGGCCGAGAATGAGTAACTGGCCCAAAGTCACCCAGTTGTTCACATATGAGCTTCATCGTCAAGTGAGGACTAGAACCCAGATCACTCAGATCCCTAACCCAGCACATAAACTTTTTTCCCTTCTCTGGGTTTAGTTCAATGGGGCTTGCAGACAAGTACTACAAAAGTCAACTGAAAGATGTGCATCAGCAGAATTTTTTATGGACTGAAACAATTTGCTGATCAGTTGCATGGACTGTTGTCGCTGTCTCAGGCCACTGTTTCATGCTAGGATAACCAGTTACCAGTTCTCCCAGGCCTAGTAATCTGTGCTCTGAATTGTACCAGATTTATTGTGTCACAAGCGATACGTCAGCAGCTGTGGCCCATGGTGCAATTGTCAAAGGCCTTGTTACTTCGGGTCAGGGATGGGCAAGTTCTGGCCCTGCAGATGTTTTGGCTGCAGTGCCCATGATCCTGCACCATCCTCCTGTAGGCAAAAGCCTCAGGTTGCTCACCTTTGCTTGACACAAACCTCGCTTACTGTGCCATCCAAACCTCTACGCCATGCAAAGCTCTTGTGAATTCCTTACCAGCTCTGCCACATCATCAGCACCAGCTGGGTGTGACTGTAGGATAACACACACACTGCAATAGAATGGGCCTAAACAAAAATTCCATATCCGGTTGCCACTTCTACCCATGATGCCACAGTGAAAGAGGATTATGGTGGGAGCAGCGGCTACCACAACCACACTTGCTCCGACATCTTGGAGTGGAGCTGGGACGTGACTCGGCCCTCCGGCACCCACTTCTTCGGATGGTCTTCCAGGAGAACGTGTGCTTGATGAGATGAATGCCTAGGAGCACAAGGCCGTGTGCTGCAGCTCCAAGGCATCCGCTTACGTTATTGACCTCCTATGACTCCATTTTATTGCAAGAAACCCTGATCAAGACCTTTTTATATATACCCAGAGCACTGTGCACGCTGCACGCCCCGGTGTGCCTCTGGGGAAATAATGGGCAAGATCAAGACAGGCCAATATCTTTTATCAGCTCGGAACGATGCATGTGAAGGGGTTGCTTAATTTACACACATTTTTCAGTGGTATCATCTGAGATCCCACCACAGGAATTGCCTCCCATATTGCTTCCTTCTCCCATTCTCTGCCTGCATGCCTGTTTTATTCGCCAGTGGGTGTTCTTTCATTTCTTATTCTTCTTTAACAATCTGATTTATAATCTAGCTGCAACTAGAACATTAAATGTTTCTTTGTATGTTTAATTCAGAATAATAGTTATACCAGCCAAATGAGTATGTGCAGAATAGTGGAACCATCCTGAAATTAAATGTTCTAATGTATCTCTAGCTGTATATCTCAATTCTGCACATGGATTAAGAATGCTTATGCAGTGGTTTGGGAGGGCATATTTGCATTTTATTCAGAGGTCTGATGGTGTTACTCTGCCCAATGTTTGGGAGTCCGACTCCAATCAGCTCCAATGGGCATGACCAATGTTCACAGAACTTGGAAGTTATAGTCTAAAAGATTTGGAGGGCACCAAGTTAGGGAAGGCCGGCTTTGTTCAGCACTTTCCCACTAATGTTCATCGACTGCAGCACCAATGTTAACACATCCCCCTTTCTTCTTGGCCATGTTGTCATGTCTGAATAGTTTTCACAAATTCAGCTCCTCATAAGTGACGGAAATGTGGCATCATCTGTTAGCAAATTCAGTTATAGGGAAACTGTATGCAATGCACCCACTGAGAAGAGAAAGTAATCTCTGAGAGACTTTCTGTTTATACTAGTTCAGCACAAACATGACACTGGTAATAACTGTGTAAGAGTTCTTCAGGCAGAGTCCCAAATCAGTGGTCTTATGGGGTTAGGTTCTAAAGATACCACATTCCTGGGCTAGCTGTGGATTCATGTGAACAGCTGCTCATGAGAGGACCCTCCTGTTGGGAGCTCCATGCTCAACACAAGAGTCAGGAGTGAAGCTGGTTCTGGGTTGCAACCCCACTCGGGCACATGAGTGCTCCCCACTTGAGAAGTATATGCATATGTCTAGGGAGCAGCGTTTGGTACCAAATGTTAGAGAAACACGATTTATGCAATGAAACCTGCTGACTGGGGCTTTTGGGCCCGAGAAAGTTCTGTCCAGAGAAAAATAAGGAAAGGTGGACTGAACTGCTGTACCCAATCCCCTGTTCCTACAAGTTCCAGTTTTGTTTACCTGTTGAAAGAAGGCAATTTGTTGCTCTCACTTGTCCACAGAGGCAGCATTGGGCACCTCTGATCTAGGAGAAGTGAGCCATCTAGTCAGAAGTCACTGCTGCCCACCTTGTTTGATGGAAGAAGAAAAGGTTGATACTTTCTTCAGGTGGCTGGCATGCTCCTAGGTCCCAATTCAGTTACATGCATTACCTCACTTTGGAGATAAGAGATTCACCCTCAAAACAATTTTTCTCAAGCAGCCAAAAAATGGTCTTTCAGAAACAGTGTGCTCTGCACAGCAGAATTAACTAATCAGAGATTCAGCCAAAACAAAAGATTGCCCTGCTGAATGCGTCCATCCTGTCAAATTGGATTTATCAGTGTGAGGGTTATTAGAATTTATTTTGTTGTTTGAATGAAATTGTGAGCTTAAAATGTCAAAAGAGATTTATTAATACCATACCACTTCTGATAAGGGCATGTGAAAGGGCATAGAGGGAGCAGATTATAAGAGGCCAAGTGTCGTGTGCGCACACGTGTATTTATAGCAGAAAGCAAATATAAATGTGGTAATTTATCAGTGACTGCTCTTCCAAAATCATCTCAGCCACATCAAGCTTATGAAGCAAGCACCGGTGTCATATTAGATGATCAGACCACCTAGAATGCTTTATCAAAATTTGATAAAATGGAGAAGGGAATTCTGTGAGAGAAGCAATACAAGATTTTTGAAACTACCCTCTGTTCCTCATGTTTGACCTTTTAAAAAATGAACCAAGAATTCAGTTAAACAATGTTTCTCAAGTCGTTTTAAATGAAGCATCCTTCCAAAATATATGGCACTTTCTTGGATCTGCAGTATACGGAGGATCTAAAGACTTGCAGCTTTTGAAAAGCTGTTAGACAGTCAAGGACATTCCTTCCCTTTGCAGTTCCCCCAGAAGCTGCTCCAGAATGTGGGAGATGCTATCTCTGAATAGGTTTTCATGGGGCTGCCACTACTTCCCGGTGGTGTCAACCAAATGTGCTGGTTGCAGACAGGCAGGGACCATTTTTTCCCCTTTGGTACTACTAGCTGGAAAGACTCACATGGCCCTTGAAAGGCTGCTTAACTGATTGCCCAACCAAGCAGACACTGCAACAGAAGTGAGGAACATGATGTGACTCTCTAAATGTTGTAATGCAATGCCTCATGCTTCACCATCAGCCAGACTGGCTAGGGCTGATGGACAGTTGTAGTCCAACCACATCTGGAGGACCACATGTTCTCCATTCCTCATCTAGAACAAAAGTTTGAAATGTTCCACCAGAACATTCTAGATGTACAAAGTTGTCTTTCTTTTCTTTGTGGCCCAACTCCTGGCTCCTGCCTGACCAAGATGTTACACAGACCTACATTATACTGTCCTTTACACAAACTCACATTAACATAGACTACAAAGCTCCAGAGACTTATTCTCTGTTTGGTAATTTTCAGTCTGGGATTCCAAAACGCCAGGTACATTTCAGCCTCCTTCCCAGATTCTGACAAAAGAGCTCCATGAAAGAGAAAGCTTGTAATCCAAGTGCCATGATACAGATTGCAATCCTTTGATCATTTACTTGGAAGCCTCAGTGAATTCAATGGATCTCATGTGTTAACATACACAGGATCAGACTGACTATCTGCTAGGATAATGAAAGCAATTAAAGAGACATTTTAAATTTTAACCCAATGGGTTAACTCACCATTTTTTTCTGTCTTGTGCTTTGGACTTTCTTGTCCTGGAAGGCATGGACAAGGCCCTTCACAGCGTGCTGTAATTTTTTTGCCGGACGTACAGGCATGAAATTCCAACTTGCACTGTAATTATAAGAAAACAACAAGGTAAAACAGGGAAGGGGTAAAGAAAGAATCACCCATTGCCATCCGAGTGGAGCTTTGTTCCCTCACTTCTTTCAAACCACTCCTGTTTACTCCTCAAGCATACCTATGTGTCTGACCAACTCACTGATTTCACACACTGGTTCAACAAAGGGCCACCTTGCTAACTTATCTGATCTTTCCAGCACTGATTGTCCACACGTAGCAGGGAAAGACTGATTCTGATGGTGTACTGAACACCATATTGCCCCAGTGATCTCCCTGAAATAATGCAGTCAGTCTTGCATCTGGCACTGAGAAGACCTTTGCTTCTGTCTTTACTTTCTCACTTAGAACAATTCCTTTATTTATATAAAACCAAAACAATCCCCACAAAAAGAAAGATGAAAAAGAATGAAAGAAGCCAGCCAGCCAGCCAGCCAATCTCCTACATTTTCTTGTATATTCAAGCTATGGATTACGAGGACCTCAACAATTACAGCTGTCTGGACTGGGAATTGCAGGACTTCATGGCTGCCATGTCAGCCATGCAGCTCTCCTAACATGGAGTCTGACACACAACTGATCTGATGTTCTCAGCTGGCGAGGAAATAATGGTTTCTAAATTTACTCCTTTGTCATGAACAAATCACTTCTTTTGCTGGAGGAATGATTAAGGACATAATTCTTTCAAGGTTTAGATGGAAAAAAATCCTGCACTCATCCTTGCCTTCCAGCCAGCCATGGTGTGAACTGTAGGACCATTTTTGTCTTATACATATATAGGATTGCACCCTAATTTGGTCTGCCTCTGGAGTCTAGATGGCTTCCTGATGCCCTTGGGGCAGTTTCCAGCTGGCGCCACTTTAAGTCCTACTCACCCTGTGGAACAATATGGAACAGGCCCAAGCTGCAAACACAATAACTCCTAACACTGAATAGAATGCAGTTGGCTCTTTGGCAGACTGGGGAGTAGAAAGCAAAAATGACTAGAATGCAAGATACAGAAGACTTGCACTGAAGCTGACCGACTGCAGAACTCAGTTTAGAACCTATCCTATAGCAGCAAAAAAACAGCAGTTGTCCACTTCTGGCATCATCATTACAAGTTTATTGCAAAAAGAATTGCAATAAACCTTACTTGGAGGATCATCTGGAGGGAACTGTATGGTGCAATACAATGCTTAGGCACTCATAAGTCCCACTAAATTAAAGGTAAAGTAAAGGTTTCCCCATGCCTGACGCTAGGGGCGGTGCTCATCTCCGTTTCCTAGCCGAGGGAGCCAGCGTTTGTCCGCAGACAGTCTCCGTGGACATGTGGCCGGCGTGACTAAACACCGAGGTGCACAGAACGCTGTTACCTGCCCACCAAAGTGGTACTTATTTATCTACTTGCATTGGCATGATTTTGAACTGCAAGGCTGTCAGGAGCTGGAATGGAGCAACAGGAACTCATCCCGTTGTGCAGATTCGAACTGGCGACCTTTCAATCACCCAGCCCAGCAGCCCAGCAGCTTAAACCACTGCGCCACCTGCATCCACCAAATTAAATGAGACTTATTCCTAGTTAAGTGTAGATAGGATTTCAGCCTTGCATTCTTAGCTTCCAGTCCAATGCATGCTTATTCAGAGGTAAGTTCTACTGTATTCAGTGTTTTTTTCCAGGTAAGAGTGCAGAGGGTTGTGCTGCTAATACTTGTCCTGAATATTAAAGGTGAAAACAAATCCTCTCCAAAGAACCTGATAAACATGCAAGCATGGTGCTTCCACTGAGATAAGTCATGGCTATTCAGGTCCTTTTTTAATTTCCTTAATTTTTATCCTGTCTTTCTGTTAAACATGGTGCTCACGGCACCTAACAAGCATGCAGATAAGAACATTATCAAAATGTAATCACATCAATTAGGATACATCTGAAAAACACATTAGTTAGAAAGAAATCAGAACCAAGAGACAGTGTGTGTAGTGGTTAAGAGCATGGGTCTGGGACTTAGGTGATCTGGGTTCCAGTCCCTGCTTGGGACTTTGGGCCAGTCACAGACTCTCATCCCACCCTACCTCACAAGCTTGTTGTTGTGGGGATAAGAATGTAAGCAGCTAGAAGAGAATGATGTAGCTACTTTGAGTTCATTAAAAAAGGAATAGGGGGAGAAAGAGAGCGAGCGTGCAAGCATCCACCAGTTAAAAGCTAGTCTAGCAAACAAAACAGCTTACCAGACAAAAGCCTGCCTAAATAAAAATGCCCTTCTGCCTGCCAGAAGAAGGACAATACAGTGGGAGCTTATCCTTCTTACCTCGGCAGAGAGTTTCAGAGTCTGCAGGCAGGCACTCAGAAGGACCTATCGCACGTTCCTCCCAAATACACCTTGGGACATCTCCCAAGCATTAAAAAACCCAAACAGGCTCGTAACCAAATGTGATCTTTCAAACAAAACAAGCAGTTCTGCCCATGACAATGCTCTAACAGCAACGTTACTAGAACAGGGAACTGCATTGAGCTGAACTATGGTAATTCGGAGGAATAGAGTGGGTGTGAAATAATGCTTATGAATAAATAAATACCACAAGGAGTACTCCATTACTGCTGGGAGCATTTAGGGTGCAATGGGAGTTGAAAGACCCCCTTTTCTGTCTAAACATGCATAAAATTTGACTCTCACTTATTTGTATTTACATGCTTGCTATAACACAAAGAATTCAGAACATCTGAGAACTCTGTAAGAAATGGCATAACTTAACATCTTTAAATGGAAAGGTAAGGTAAAAAATGTTTCTAACAAATTTATTAATACGACATGTGTTTTAGAAGACCAACTCCCTAATTTGCAAGGTGTTTCTTCTGCACACATGCCTTATTAAGTTGCGTTTAAATTGTGTTTGCCTCTCTGAAGCATGCCTATGACTCTGGTCCAAGAATCACAGCAAGGTAAAGTATATGAGAAGAAGCAATCAGGAAATACTGAAGCAATACATATTCTCCGAGACAATCTCTTTCTGGTTTTTTTTCCCAACAAAACATCAGAGTGAATGAAACAGGATGCTGTTACAAGATAAATGCCCCATGCTTTGAAAATGCCATAAATAGTGTGGTTCTGCTTGTGTCTCGATTTTGCTAAGAGGGCCCAGCCTTCTCAGCCTTTAATCTAGCAGCAGGATACCATTATCCTCTGACAACATTCGCTCTCAATGACATTTTCTCCTGGGCTCTCTCTGAACTTCAGAGAACCTGGCGGTTGCACACTCTCTAGGCGATTCTGTCTTTCCGATTTCGAAAACACATGGGCACAGTCAGCTTTCTGCTTGTGGCTTTGCTCAGGAGGCACCTTTTGATATTTTAGCTTTATACATGCTTCTGGTAAGCCGAACCATATACAACTGCCATAAGTTGGACATCATGGGTAATGTGGACTCCACTCCCAGGAGGAGCTATTTGAATTTTTAAAATGACAAACACTGCAGGGACATGCAGCAAGCCGATGCATCCTCACAAAAAGGAGGGCTCAAGATAGAAAAGGTCAGGATATGCATGGATGTATGGTACGTATTCTGATGGTAAGGACAGAAACACAGGGAGCTCATCTATCATGTTGTTTTGGCGGGCAAAATAAATGCAGGAGAAAATTAAAACTGAGCAAGGTTTCAGATGTGCTGTCTCACAATATACCTCGAATTCCATTCTTCCCGCCTACACTCAGCATTTGTATTTATAGATTTATATCTGGCTTTCCTACCTCATCTTGCTTTATAGTTTAAAATTACTAATATACACTAGTATATTAAAAAGTTCTCATGCTCTTCCTCTAGAATTCATTATTCATTTATTTATTGCCTTTCTGGGAATGTATTCCTAATTATTCCCTACTGCCAAATTCCTGAGTTTTCCCTTCCTTTAATTTCCCACTACTGGAATTCCTCACCAGTTAAGTGTTTACAGAAGCATCAAATGACTTTTTATTTTTAAATGCTACTCATTTCCTTACCAGCTAATCATCTTTAAATTATCTAAACCATGATGTTCTTTTGACAAACAAGTTTAATCCTGGGGAAGGAAGTTTAAATCTCATGGTTAAGAATAGATTTGTCTGCTTAAGAACAGAATGCTTGCATTCTCTTTTATAAACAGAAATCGGCTTAGAAAGGATATCTTCAAGATATGCTGTAAGCCTCTGATGAAAGTGAAGGAATTTTGAGATTGAGACATGTATTAATTGTAATGGAGTTCCACACAGCTTAACCTTTCCTCTTATACAGGGTGACCATTGCAAGCCCTTGGTCCATTCATTTCTTATTTCTCACCTATGTTTAACATTGGTTATGTGTACACGTGCACAACAATCAGATCCAAAACATATATGAAATATTTATTGTTAATGGCTGATCAATTCAGACTGGTAAAAATGTTTTAATGGAGGTTTCCATCTGTATTCCTGAAACACGGTAAGAGAAAACATCTCAACAGCTCCCTTTTAAGACATGCATATTCTTCAGAAAATAAAAAAGTATCCCTCCCCACCCCCTCCTCTCTCTGTGGACTATGTTTGGTAGTATGCAATTTGTGGCTAGAGTATCTCCTCCAGGATAGTGCCCCATTCTCATAAGGAAGAGTTTCACTTTATTCACCTGATTATTTCCTGCTCCAGGTACTTAGAGATCTGATTAGTTTGAGTGAAGTACTTGCTACTATGTTTTCCATAATGAGTTGATTTTTTTTCATCATCTATCATCATCATCAATTTCTGTAGTGCTCCGCAGCCTAATCTCAGTTTATACAATCCATAAAACAAATGAGAAACATACAGTAAAAATATCAGGGATTAAAAAAAAAACACGTTGATCAGTTGTCTGCTTCCATAGTTATCTCCAGCACTGCTTGGTTTACATCTTACAAAGAAAATGGGGATATTTCTTGTCAAACCTTTCTTGAAAGGGTAGACACTTAAGAATCACCAAAGGATAGATAGAAAAGAGGACAAAAAGAGGATGGTGATTCCTGTAAAATG